ACAAGCATTTTGGAGAAAGATAGAGATCTACCGAGAAACGTCAGTCCAGGTTACCACAGAAACAGGAGTTCCAAGACAACAATCCTATTGTGTCAGGACTTAATAAGGATTTACCACATCCAGTTAAAAAAAAAAAAAGATTCTTCAGCCTGTCTTGGCCTTGGGATTCTCTAGAGCCAAGAAAATGTCATATAGCATCTTGGGTTCTACAGCAGCACAAATAAGCCCCAGCTGACTGTTAGGATCCTTTTCTCTCCATTTTTCTTCCAAGACGGAAGCCAGAATTACACCAAACGGAAGAGCAGAGAAGAAAAGTAAGAATCAACAGACTCCCCTGCTTAATAGCTTAGGCTTCAAACAGAATCTCGGAATTGTCTTCAGTTTTATACTCCCAGCAGAAAGTAAAAAGGCTCAGGAAGGCGCTGCCACCTTTACTGGCCACTGCAAGTCAGACTCCTCAGCATGCAAATACAGCATGCAAACCTCTGAAAAAACAAAAAAGGATTAGGCAGAATTGTCCCTACTACTGCACCAACCTCTCACGGCCTGTCCTATCCCTCCTCAGTTAAGAAGCAGCTTCCTACTAAAGTTGACCTAAACACAAAGGGCATAATAAAGCATTCCAAATTACATCCCGGGGCCATTTTTAAACTGCAAGTTCAGAAATTCAGTGTGAAGAAAGGGACTAAACGTAATCCCTAAATATGGATTTAGATTGCAATTTCAGCAACAAATGTCTCAAACCTTAAGACAAGCCATTCTTCGCCTATTTTATCTTGTACTGCATCCTAGGTTTTATTAGCCAACTTCTGTTTTCCAGATAAGATTCCAAAAGTCTGGATTCAAACTTTTTATCTCTGGAGCGCAAGCCAGCTAGCCAGACTTTAGGGGTAATAATACACCCCATTTTCTAGCCAAGTATCTTTAATTACACCACCAAACCGGCTGTAAGATTACTTCCATCTACTAGCCAGATTCTATTAGTCAGAAAAGCAAATAGATGGCTTCATGTTTTAATGTTATGATATCAATATTGTAAGTCATTCTGTCTCCAGAAATGCAGTTGCAGTAAAAAAAAAAGAGAAAATTCATTTATCAAAATTGGGTAAGCAGGTGTTTCTGTGAGCCACCAGACGCTGCTTTAAATGTTGAAATTTATTAGCATATAAGCAATTATGTGAACAAAATGTTTAGGAAAATTATCACAGCAAATCACGTGTGTGTGTGTTTGTATGAGAGAGAGAGACAGACAGAGATTTTTTTTTTTTTTTTTTTTTTTTGAGATTTTTATTAATATTTGTAGGCCGC